GGGCACCCCGAGCCCGGCATCTGGAAGGCTTCAAAGGCCCAGTCTTCAACCAGCTAAGGGGGCTGTGGTGGCAGAGCGGAAAAAAACCCAAATCAGACAAACCAGAACTTGAGTCCTACTCACTAGCAATGTGGGCCTCTAGGAGAACGCGCCTTCCTGTGTAGAATAAGTACCTCCTTCCAAGAGCTGCGGTGAGGATTAAGTAAGAGTGAAAGAAAAGCTCATGCCTGGCACAACAGGGATTCAGGAGCTAATAACTATCATCGCCACCAATATTATACATTCATATGGCCCCTCTGTCTACAGCCTTCAATGGCTCCCCATTGCCTACGTAAGAGTTCAAGCTTCCTAAATACCCAATCAAGACCCTCCACGGCTCATACAGGAGCCTAGTCACTCCAGCCCCCAGCCTTGCCAGGGACCGTACTGCTTCTCTCAGGAACTGTTCTGGCATTCTGCAGACCAGAGGGCTCTTCTCCAACCCTAACTCCACCATCCCCAGGGCTCGGCTGGAATCACATTCTTCTAACTCAGCGCGCGCTTGCTTGGACACCACGGGAACAGCGGCCAGCTTCCTGGGCCCCCGGTCAGGTGCTGTAAACACTCTGCAAATAACCACCCCTTCTCACACCAATGAGATGCTATTATGACCCTATTTTATTTATTTTTTATTGTTATGTGCTTCACAGTGCTGAGGACTGAACCCCAGAGCCTCTTATATGCTATGCAAGCACTCTACCTGGCCCTGTTGCCCCATTTTAAACATTTGTTTTTTAAATTTTATGTATTTATCTATTTGGTACTGGGACTCGAACTCAGGACCTTACCCTTATTTATTTATTTATTTTTGTCTTTTTGAGACAGGATCTCGCTATGCAGTTCAAGCTGGCCTTGAGCTCACTTTGTAGCCCAGGCTGGTCTTGAACTTAAAACGATCCTCCTGCCTGAGCCTCCTGAATGCTGAGATTAGAGGCGTGCGCCACCACGCCTGGCTGGCCCTTATTTATTTTTGAGACAGGGTCTCACTTTGTAATTCAGGCTGGTCTTGAACTCACCATATAACACAGGATGGCCTCAAACTCTCTGTGACCCTCCTGCCTCAGCTTCCCATGCCCCATTTTATGTATGTATGTATGTATGTATGTATGTATGCATTTATTTATTTTGAGCCAGGACCTCCTTATGTAGTTCAAGCTGGCCTCAAACTCTCTGTGTAACCCAGACTGGCCTTAAACTTGTGGTGATCCTCCCGCCCTGGCCTCCGGCATACTGGGATCACAGTCATGCACCACCATGGCTTGCTTGCCTCACTTGATAGATGAGGAAACAGATACCCAGAGAGGGTAAGTGACTTCCTCAAGGTCAAAAAGCCCTAACAGCCAGTGCTGGGACCGGAACCAAAGCTGCGCGCAGATCAGGCTGCTGCATTTTACTTTGCTCGGCTGGAATCAGCTTCTCAACTCTGTCCCTATTGCTCCGAGGCTTGTTCGCTTCCAACACCTGTCACAAGGCTCTTTCCAGCTGACCAGCAGTTCCCCAGGGTGCAGGAGGAGGACAGAGCCTGTGGCCCAGGGGCAGACCCACAGCAAGGGCTTAGTGATCACCAGATGATCACTATGGGCCTACAGCAGAGCAAGTACAGTGACTTCTCGTCTCCATCCCCCCGATCTCCGCTCACTAAAGTCTCATGCTCTGAGCATTTCCTTCCACCTCCCTGCCACCTTCAAACTGGCTCCGGACCCCGGGAACAAAAGGGTGCTGGCAGGCGGAGAACCTGAGGAGGCAGATAATCCAAAAATAATTGATCCCAGGTCATGGAAAGCATTTTGTTTACCGAAGCAGGCTGACCTTCCCAATTATCATCTGCTTAGGCTAACGTTACAGCCTGCCCTCCCCAGCGGCCCGGATCGCCGCAGTCCTGCGGGGGACGGGTCAGGCCTGGATGGCTGCCTAGCGCCAAGCTGAGCGGTAACTGCCACGCTGAGAGGTAACCGAGGCAAGGCCCGCAGCAAGGCCCCGAGGGTCCTCTCTCTCCAGGAGCACTGGGACATGGCTCCCAGCCCTGGGCAGGGTCCCTGCCTCCTTCCATGGCTGTTTGCAGAATCGCCGTGAGGAGCAGGAATTGAGTCTGCGATGTGCAGAGTCCAGATCCTAAACTTCCTCAACTCTTCCTTCACCTGGGCCAGCCTCATGGAATCCACACGGGGCTCCGGGGGAGACACTGTTTTCCTTTGCAGTGCCGGGCACTGAAGCCACAACCTTGCTTATGGCAGGCAAGCACTCTACCACCCAGGTGCACTCCACCTTCCACCTCTGGACATAGGAGAAAGCGGACTTCGAAGAGGTAAAGCCACTTGCCCCAGGTCCCCGCGCCTATCCCCAACACTTGGCAGGCAACTGGCCAGACCTTTTTTTTTTTTTTTTTTCTGTCTTTTTGAGACAGGTCTAGATATGCAGTTCAGGCTGGCCTTGAACTCACTATGCAGCCCAGGCTGGTCTCGAACTCACAACGATCCTCCTGCCTCAGCCTCCCAAGTGCTGGGATTACAGACGTGCGCCACCACGCCCGGCCTACCTGGCCAGATCTTTACACTGCCGAGTGGGGAATCACCTACTCCTCACCAGGCCTTTTGGGGGACCTTCCCTCAACCTCACCATCTCAGCCTCCAGGTGAACTCAGCATCCCCACCAGCCCTCCCAGGCCTGGGGACTGAAGCTCATGCGGGCTCCTTGAGTTCTCCAGGAAGGAAGCCCTGGGGGGGCAGGAAGCTGGTGCTGCTGACTCACAGGCCAAGGGGGAGTAATCCAGGAAACTTGTCACTCTGTCGCCATGGCTTTGGGCCCGCCTGGTACCCCCTCCTCCCTGAGGCTGCCTCAAGAGCTGGGTGTTGGCCTCTCCCCTAGGGTTCCAGCTCCCAGACAAGCCCTCTGCTAACTGCTCCCCGGTCCAGCCCTTCCCAGCCTGCAAAACTTAGGCGAGGCCACCAGTGGGCGGAGCCACCAGGCTGGGAAAGGTAAGGAGCCCAGGCAAAGTGAGGGTCGGCGAAGCCCACCCGGGGCCCAGGCTGTCCAGCCTCCCCACTTCCCTGCCCTGCTTTTAGCAAGAGGAAGGAGGCCAGTCCTTCAGGAAGGAAGAGAAGCTGAGAAGACCGAAAGTGTCACCATTTGCCTCTCCTGGGGTGGGAAGGGGCAGCGGCGATTAGGATCACGATCACAAGAGAAAGGGAACTGGTGCCCCACCGTTTGTTTTGCAGCACCGAGGACTGAACCCCATCTTTGCACTGAGCTGCACCCTCACACTCGAACTCCTTTTTGTGAGACACGGTCTCACTATGTTGCCTAGGCTGGGTTTGAACTTAGGATCCTCCAGCCTCAGCCTCCAAGAGTGCTAGGATTAGAGGCTTGTGTGTGCCACCATGCAACCTTGGCTTGTGCCCTACCATCTTAAGCCCAGAGCGCTTGGCGGGAAGGACCAAACTTGATGGCTCCCTCCCCTCAAGGTGTAAAACTCTCTCTGGCTTCAAAGAGACTCTTTTTGTTCTATTTTCGATTCCCTAGGCTCAGTCTCACCTTGCCCCTGGCTACAGAATGACCGGAGCTCCCTACATCACAAAGGGCACATGTAGCTAACCAAGTTTTGGATGCCAGGATTCAAATCCTCCCCTGCCAGGTGAGCTCAAGGCTTGCAAACGTCCCTTGACAGAGCAGCACGCTCAGGAGTGAGGAATCCACCCCGTGCCTGGGGCTCAGGGAGTTTTTGGTAAATGTCAACTATTCTTGGAGATTCTGTAGGGATGGGACAGGGTCTGATAGCTCACAAATACTCGTGTTGGCCTAAGCTGAAAACTAGGGAGCCATCTCTTCCCTTTTGCTCTGCTTTTTTTCTGTTTTTTTTTTTTTTTCTTCTTTTTGTACCAAGAATCGAACTCAGGACCTTGCTCTTGCCAGGAAGGCGCTTGTACCACTGAGTTATACCCCCGGCCCTCTCCCATCTCTTTTTAAGAGTGCCTTCAACCGTGTTCTTAAAGTCAGAGACACTTTTGAAAAGGAGTCTGCAAGTATCATTTTGGAAGCCAAGTTCCAGAGAGGGAGTGACGCCCTGAGGTCTGAGCACTGCTTTCCCCTCTGGCGGCTCCGGCGCTCTCACAGGGGCCCACTTGTTTGCAGAACACAGGGAGACCCAGACGCAGGCTCTTCCAAGAAAGCACCAGGGTGCGGCCGCTCCTTTCCTCAACGCCAAGGGCCGGGCTCACTCACTGGGGAAGCAGGAGTGCCGGAGGGGGGGCAAGGGGGGCATTTGCACAGACTGATGTCACCCAAAGTGACAATAATACACTTAAGTAGTGCTGTGCCCCAGGATTCCACTTCTGCCCGGGCTGCAGCCTCACCCACCCCAGCGCTCAGAGGCTTCTCACGGGCACAGCGGGTGGGGACCGTGCCCGCCCCCTCACCAAGCAAAAGCAGGTTAAGGGGAACCTGTCCAGCCCTCCTCCCCCACACAGTGACTCAGTGGCGAGTTTCTGCCGAAGAACTGAGCTAGGGAGTGGTTGTCAAACCCCAGGCTTGAGGCTTTCAGAAAATGTGCAAATGAGCGTCAGGAAATCCCCTCTCCCAGGGAAGGCGAGCGAAGCCAATAAATAAACACCCTCTCGCCGCAAGTGTCAGGGCACACACGGCTCTCCTCGGGTCACACTTCCTAACACCTGTCCCGGAGTGCGTCGCACCCACGCTCCCGCCCCTCCCCTGCACGCAGGCAGGGCTCGGTTCTAACTTCGCTCTAACTTCAGGGACGCATCCTTCCGGAGTCCCTTTCACTTTTGCTGCCGCAAGCCTGCTCATCTGGAGGCACCTGAGTCCCCCAAGTCTGGGAACCTGCACAGCTCGGCACCGCCCCGCGTCGGGGCCCCGGAACTCAAGGCTGCGCCCCTCGAGCCCGTCGGGGCTGCGGGCGGAGCGGCACGGCCGGGGCGGCGGGGCAGGGCAGGGCGGCCCGAGCTCACCATGGCGAAGCCGGAGAGCAGCGCCGAGGTCCGGCTGGAGGCTTTGAGCTTGGCGCGACTCAAGTAGAGTTTGCGCCAGGACAGCGCCTGCATCGAGTGCTCGTTGAGACTCATCACCTCGGAGTAGTAGCTCTGGCCGACCCAGTCCGGGTAGCTGACGGCGGGCGGCGGCGGAGACCCCGGGGGCTCCCCGTCCGCACTGTGGCGACGGCTCCGGCTGCTCCCGCTGCCACCGCCGAGGGGAAGCTCCGGACTGCTGCTGCTGCTCGGGGGCGGGGCGGGCTCCGGATGCATGGAGCACGCGGCAGCGGCGGCGGCCCGCG